ATTTGCAGTTTGCAGTTTTTCATCTTTAAGTATGTGAAATCGAAATTTATTACAGTTGATATTATTATTATCCTAATCCTATATTTTATCTCATTTACATCTGTTCTCTTATTTATGAATTATTCATTATCTGTGACTGCAATCTATTGCTGAGCTAAACATCAGATATTTTCTTTCTTCAGAAATGAAAAACATCGGAATTGGACGCTAATAGACACCACACACTATACTTATGCTGTAACCAGCAGAATCTCTCAAACAAAATTTTTGTATTCTACAAAAGAAATGTTACAATAATATTGCTACACTCCCTACACGTTCGGCTCCGTTTAGACATAAATCTTAAGTGTAAATCTGCATCGCCGCATTCATTTCGTTTAAATAAAAACATTTCGCATAGATTATAAAAACTGATAAGTCGCATATTCCTGTGAAGCATTTTTTGGCTTATTTTTGGAAATTTTATTTTTGGTTTTCAATGGCAACGATAAAATTTTTTTTCCAAAAGAAAAATTCCTCTATGGAATATGATAAAAGTGAAAATTTTATTCAAATAAGTGAGCGAAATATGGAAATGAGATTGTTGATATCATCGAAATTGTGTTCGTTCGTTAGCTGTGAGCAACAACTTTCATCATGGGCTATTTCATCGATTCCGCATGACTTCTATCATGCTCACATAATAACAGCACGATTACGCACATGATGTATGTATGCTCGATACTATCGGCCTGCACAAATGCCTTTTTTGTATGAAAAGCATTGATATATGTATGCTCAAGGGGATAAAATTTCTGGACGAAAAAAAAGAAATTTGTTAATGATTTTGTTGACAGATAAGTTCATTCAGGTGCATAAGATAATTTGGAAATGGAGAGTTCGATCTCTTCACTCACGTTTTCGTTTTTTGTGCTCTCAAAAAGTTTCAGTTTTTACCCTTCAAATACTCTCATACGATCAGAGATCAAGAAGTCATCATGTTATGCCCAAGTTACCTCTTCAGTACTAACAATAAGTTCAGGAATTGCTTATTTCGAACATAGGAGAGAAAAATTTAGAAGACAAAATCTAAAAATATAATCTCCGTTTTTTCTTCCGGGGAGGGGAGGGGGAATTCCCTTGATAATTCCAACTTTTCAGAATATTTCCAACTTTCATTGCATATTCCACTCGAATCAAATGATGAGAAATAAAACACTGCGATTTGCTCGTTATAAAAATCATTTCCAAAATTTGAGACTCTGAATGCTATGAACTATAGAATATGATGTGGTCACTGAAACTTAAATATTTTCTGTTTGTGTGTGTGGGTTTACGCATGCGACTTAATTAAATTTCATATGAATTCATTATAATTTAATAGGATATTCATGAAAATTTTTCGTTTCGCTCGAAATAGTATTCGTTGAACAATGATTGCGTTTTTCATTCAGTTAAGATGCAATAACGCTTGATTTTCTTGCGTCATTCATCAGCTATCGTTTATCGTCACTTCCGAGAATAATTATTCATTCATTCATCGTTTCCTGAGTTGAATCTGAGAGAGTCTTTGAAATTTTCATTACTTCTTTCCAAACGAGAACTCTTCATAAAAGTAAAATCATATTTTAGTGAATTCACTATCTTTAGACGCTTGCGTTTTGATCGACTCAGTTCATAGCTAGAATCATTTTTCTATATACTGGATACGGGAGTTACGGGAACAGTGTGTGTAGATAAACTTGAATGAATATCAATGATAGTAGCAGTAAGAGTGCTAATAACATTAACATCAGTAACGATTATAATAATGGAATGATACTTATGATAATAATAATATAACAATAATGACAATGATGACAGCATAGTTATTATGATAATAATAACAGTAATATAAGTTATTGCGATAATAGTAGTGGTCACGATGAGAGTAATGATAGTGGATGCAGTCAAAACATCAAATGCGATGCCCATGACAGCAAATCGAAAAATTTAGTCATGATTCACGATAAAACTCAACAGAAAAATGCATTGGAAAAGGCTGAAATTGATTGAAAAATTAGCAAACAACCAAAAACTCTGATAGATGGAAACTTATCGACAAATATTGATCAGATAAAAGGCTTAAGTTGGTTAAGGGACATGATGTTTGATGTCTGAACTTCAACGTTTTTTCGCTTTCAAATTCTCGAGCAGTTTAATTTTAGATTATAAAAGTGTACTTCCTTAGGATTTTTGGTCGATAAGATATCTTGCCCGTCACATACATTATTGGTTGATTAAACGGAAACAATTTGATTGGCATATGCAATAAAATTCGAAAGAAAAATTTCATTTATTACGTTTATTGAAGTGACAGAAATGACGACCATTGCTGAAAGAATAAAACAAGTCAGTCATAGAAGTCATTCAAATTTTTATCAGATATTAGAGTTATCAGTTTATTGCCTTATATAAGCGAAAAAAAAGTCTAATTTTGGAACGAACACTGCCTCTGTGAATGTCATTCATATGGAAAAAGTTATCTTTTAAAACATCTGATTGGTTTTTCTTCCGATTCAATTGATTTCCTCAATTTATAACACTGAGATTTGTACTAATCATTTGGTGAGCTCGTAAAAAATTTGGTTGAAAGTGAGATTTGTAGTAATCATTCGAAGATTTGTACTTCAGTATATGATCAGTGATCTCGTTTGTGATACTATCAGAATTCATTGTGCTATATGCCTACTGAGCGATTAACTTTCATGAATGATTATTATCTGCTGGAGTATATTTTTAAGAGAAAGCAAACATTTTTCTGCATATTTGTAATGTTTGAATTGTTTTCACTTTTGGTTCTGTTAGCTTGAAAGCATATGATAAGTTCGTTATTCCATTACTAGCTAAGAGAAATTTCATTCAGCCGTAAACCTCACCAATTTCAAGCATGATTTTGTCAGTTCAATTTTATGTTTCTTGATCATTAGAGGGTGGAAAAAATTTTTGCGATAAAAGCATTTCGTCGTCATTTTGTACTTTGCAAATGAAAAATGCATCTGGTGAAATGCATTGCTGATTTTAGATCTTTCATTAAAAGATTTTTGCGAAATTCAAAATTTGCCTGAATTGCATCAGCATGACTCGAATTTACAATGAATATGGACGAGACTGAAGAAAAGAAACTTTCATTTTTCACCTTGAAGGAATGATGAGAAGGCCGCAAAAATAAGGTGCTGAAATTTCTAGGAGGTATGGGCCACCGCCCGATTGGGAAGGGCCGCCACCACCACGAGGCACAGAAGTTTTCGTTGGTAAGTTTGTCTCCATTTCGCAGTGAGTGTTTTGAAGATTGAAGATCGTTAAACTTGACAATTTGTCCAACGTTTACATGTGATTATATCCATCATTATAACATAACTAAATAAAACACCGAATAATTCATCATATGGAGAAGTGGTATTGCAACTGAATGAAAATGAATCCAACAAATAGATCAGATCAGTGAATTGTTTAAATAAATGATCATAAATGAATCGATCAAACAGATTTAATTGGTATAGCGTTTATTGAATTCCTCAGAATTCAATTACTCCAAAAGATATATATTAACATTTCAAAATGAAAAATAACATTTCTTTAATCACAAAGTACACTATCATTCCAGGCAAATTACCTCGTGCCATTTCGGATGCACATTTGATAGAGGTGTTGAGTGGCGTTGGTTCATTGTATGAGGTAAGGCAAATGCTGGAGGCAACCGGTTCGAATCGTGGATACTGTTTTGCTATTTATCAGTCTCTTGATGGTGCTAAGCGTGCTTGTAGCGAGGTTCGTTTCCAGACGTTCCACCACTCACTTTCTACAGTCTCTTTTCATGATTGTACAGTATTTCAAACGGATTTCGTTATTTTTGACTCAGTGCTATCTTTTCAAGAAACATATTTTCCCAAGCACACTCAAGGGATATAACAAATATGATTTGGATTTAGACAATCAAGTTTGCTGTCTTCATTTCCTCGCTGTTTCAGTTGAATTCCGATTGCTGTCATAAGCGGTAGTATTATATTATGGGATATTTCTAGTCTTTATGAATTTAATCGTGTTGCTTATAATTTCGGCACAGAATTGTATGTATTCTTCAGCTAAATGATTTGGAAATAGCGCCTGGACGACGCATCGGTGTGGTGAGGAGTGTTGACAATCGACGACTTTTTATCGGTGGAATACCGCGTGAAATAAAGTCGGATCAAATTTTGGTTAGCGCATCATAGCTTTTGATCACATTTCACTGTGTGCATTGTTGCGCGGATAACTTAATATCAAAAATTCCCATTTCATTCGGATTTATTGAATGTGCGAAACTTGCAGTGTAGCTAATCAGCATGGAAATGCATTTGTTCATGTGATGTAACTGAATGTGATGCAATGTTTCAATCTGTTCGCATAATGTGCTCATTTCTAAGCACATCTAAACTCTAATTTACATCTTACCATCGACCATTAACTAGTCACAACGGAATTATGAAGTTGATATTCGAACTGATCAACTGAATTTGTTTCGACGACATGGAATTTACTTGAAATGTGTTGTATAATTAGCATTTTCACTCAAGATTCAATTGTTCACTGAAGTTAACTTCTTTTGATCTGCTTTATGAGCAGTACCCATCTAATTTGTTGGGTGCCAAAATATGCCATCAGAGTGTATAGCTGATCCGATAGGCAGAAGCATTGTTCGAGTGAATCCTTCGCAATAGGGATTCCTTTATGAGAACCTTTTGAATATGAGGCAGAAGCATTTGAAAATTGATGAATTCAGGCGGAAATTAAGAAGTGTACAGATGGCGTTGAAGGTGTTTATGTATATCCATCAATA